CTCATTCCTGGATGGAGAGGGCCTGTGTTGGACATTTTTCAGTCCACTGCTTGAGTAGCTGTATGTGCTCTCTAAGGAGGAGGAGATCATTCACAGCAGTGTGAGTGTGCCATCCAGGCCCTTAGAAAATGATAAATAAATAGCTAAGGGGTTACTTTCCTTTTTTCCTCACTTGCTACCCTCTCTACTTGCTACATTCAATTATTTTTGGAAGTTGCATAATAAGCAAAATTGTACATTTCAGTGTTCCCAGACGAGATTAGAGAGGATTAAGCATCAAGGGGTGGCAGCTGGTCAGTTTATTGCACATTTTTAATGTGGAAATGTTTCTAAATGAAAAAATGAAAGGTGGGAGGTGGTAGCAAACTCAGACTCTTGCATCTGCTCTCCAGACAGCCAGCACATCGTGGAGAGGGGATGAAGGGCATGGCTGATAGGGCAACTTAATGGAGCTGATGTGGGTGAGAGGCCAGGCTAAGGCATTCACAGCAGGCCTAAAACCGGGATAGTTTCAGTCAGGGGGCAAAGGGGGCCCTGGTGAACACCGGGGCTGTCAAAATATTGGTGCTGAGTGTTGTGCTTGCACACAGCAATGTGGTGGTGGCACCACAGAACCTGGCTGCCAGGACGGGATGCTCTGAGCTCGCCCCTCCCTGACCTCTCATTGGAGACCGGCCACCCGAGTGTCAATTAGTGCTAATTGTGAGGGGCTCTGTTTGTCATGTGGCCACCTGTCCTCCAGGAGCCAGGCTGAGACCTCTGGCAGCCTGTAATGAGCAGCTGCCAGCCTCCAGCCACACTCAGGCTCGCATGCCCAGGGCTGCATCCGAACATACCTCAAGGCGAAGGTGTAGCGACCTTGTTCCTGGGAAATATCTGTGTCATCCCCATCATGTCTTAAGTGTAACCTGTATTTTAATGGAATAGAAATGTGTCTTGGATTTTTTTTTTTTTGGCTAATTAAATTACACCCACCTCTGTAATTCCAAGATGTGCATTAAAGAGTGTAATTAAATGAAAGCTCAAGTTGCTAATTAGAACAATTCTTGAAGGGGCACATTCTCCCAGTGATACTGGTGTAACCTCTATATGTGAATGATATGCATCTTGGCATTGCAAAATATGTGGTTGCCCTTATACAAGACTTTTCTGCAACAACAAAAAAAAACTACAGAAGAAAATTTGAGAGATCAACTGATTCTGTGCTCTTTGTTGAAAGGCTTTGTTTGGCAGTGTATCTTCTGAAACACCCCAGTAGGAACACAGCCCTTGATGTGTGGATAAGGGTTAATGACAGTGTGGGAAACCTTGACATAAATCCTACAATGTGCTGAGGAGAATCCAGTGCTGCAGCTCTTGGTTTGGTAATTCCCAGCACTCCTTCTTCCCCCTGTCTTTCCTGTGAGGTCCTACTGCTTTTATATCTCCTCCTGGTTCTGCAAATAACTTTCAATGATTTCAAAAATCAGTGTTATAACCAAAATATCTGTGTGTGTGCACATATAAGCAAGGGTGTGATGCCCATTGTAGGGCTTCTGTTTCAAAGAAGTGCAGCAAAAGTCCGTGGCTGTGGCCCACCCAGCTCAGGGGCTGGCAATAACACACCAAGGTTTCCCACTATTCCTGACTGTGAGGGCATCCAAAAGTCCTGCATAGTAGTTTTTAAGTCCTGCTTCCCTGCCATGAGTAAGGGGACATGATTTTTTTTACTCTGCTTTCATGTTGCTCTGGGGCACTGAGGAGCTGAATGCACATGAAAGAGGAGGCAGTGGCTGGTCTGTAGTTTCCTCATGAAATTTTAGGGCATGTCTGGGTGACACTGTTCCAGAAATGAGAAGGAAAATTTCTGGCAGTCAGATGAGGCAGAAATATCTGTGGATTAGTGTGGGCCAGACACTGACCTGACAGTCCTGGACACTGGGAATGGAACACCTTGGCAGAAGAGGCGATGACACACTGTGAAACTCGGCTTTCAGACAGGGAATACGGGCTGCATTCCTTATGCAGGGTAGCTGTCTCTCTGGGACTCTGTTCAGAGGGAAAAAAAGAGCATCTCTCTGCCTTTGCTTTTTTCCAACAGCATGCCAAGAATAGCTCTGCAGGGACTGAGCAGAGGAAAGCTGATTACACCTTTTGATTGATGGTGCCTTACACATTTAACAGCGATTTCATACAGGAGCCTGATTTACTTGCACATCAGTTCTAGAGAAGGGCCCAGAGCAAAGCCCTGGACTCAGATGCCTCAAGCTTTTAGGAAATTCAGAAGGGCATCTGAATTTTCATGTATAAGATGCCTTTTACCAATTCTTCCTTTAACTGTGAATCTACTCTCTCCTTCTATTCCTTGCTCCCTAAGGCCCTTTCCTAATAAACTATCTCCAGAGTAATTCAGGATGCTGAGGCCATTGATCACCCTGTAAATCTCACAGGGCTGGGCACCCTGTGTGACTCACAGTGCTCGGACCGAGGCCATGCCCTCTGGCTGGCCCACAATGCCCTGGACAGAGAAGCAAGCTCTGTAGGGGTGGTATCTCTCACCTGCAGGAGAGCATGCTGAACCTTTGTGCAAGGGCTACAGCTGTAATTGATTTCTGCATTTGTTATTTGTAAGGCATCTATGTTGTTGCCTTTACTGTAAAATGCCAGGTGATTCCAAATGATACACACTAGAGACACTTTTTGACATGCAAACACAAAAAATTATATGTAGAATTGTGTGTTTGAGTATGCAATGAAGACAGCTGCTTCATTTACAGATAAATTTTATATCTGATTGTTGAAATTAATGCTCTTATACTTAATGTTTGCTGTAATGAGCTGCCTGAAAATACTTTTAGTCCAGCACAGGCATGGAACCAAGTAGTGAAATGAGTATAGAAAATGATGTCTAAAAATAAGAGTGATTATAAAAAGGGTTAAAGTGGGCAGTATTTGCAGTCTCATTTATCACAGTTGCTATCTTTGCACAGCATAATAAATGCAAGCCTTAATCCTATTAATAGTAACACTTGTGCAGTAATGTGTGTTGCTGGATGCCAGTGCTTTTCCAAAATATTCCCCCCATGAATGCAAAGGGGCTGGATTGCCAACCCCTCATCTATGAAGGCTGTAAGGCTGGTGAAGTATCTTATCTACTCTCTGTATGTTTTCTGTCCTTTTGTTGTGGTGCATTTTTCCCTTTCCTTACCAAACTTGTAAGAACATCAATCCCCCACTGCCTTCCTTGTCCCAGCTACCTGCATTTTCCAGTGTTTGTTGGCATCTGCAACTCTAAGGTGTGGAGGCAGACACCATCCTTTTAAGCATACCTAGCCTTATAGAAGCAAAAGCTACTGAGATTTTTTTTTTTTAAGAACAGTTTTATATCAGTTTTTTGAATGAAATGTATTGAATTATATGACCTGCTTTTCTCCAAAGCTGCTGAGCTTCCATATTTGAAGCTGATGGAAACCATGGTAGCTCAGAGACCTCAGAGAAGCAGCCAAAACTTATGTTATGGTCTGTAATTTTTCTAGTCTTATTATGGGGATGTTAACTCTTCCCCCCATTCAAATCTCTCTGAGCTAAAGCAAAGCCTGGGAAAGAAACTGTATTTTATTCCATTAAGGTGAGAATTTGGAAGGTTAGTAAAAAAGGTACCTTCAGTGAGATGCAAGATAATCAAGGCCTGGGTGAATATTTCACTCTTCAGAGGTTACTAACAGATGACTGATTAAAGAAAAAAAAAAAAAAAAAGGAAAGGAAAATATTTCTAGAAATCCAAACCCCTCATTTACAGTATTTCATCAGCAATATGGCCTGACTCAAGTTGCTGGAAGGTTCAGGCATGGGCTGGGACATTGTGGCTCCAGAGACTTCAAAAGCACTGAAGAAGAAGAAGAGTTTCTGACCTGAAGTACAACATATAGAAAGAGGACCCGGAGACACACAGGTACAGATAGACACAGGGCCAGAAATACTGGTCATCAAGAAAAATAGAGGTGTCAGGAAAGGTGAAGGAAATCAGGTTTTGTGATGCTGCACTTGAAGTGGAGATGGAAGAATGAAAACAAGCCCCTGAATGCCCAACCATACAGAGCTCCTTTTCATCTCTTGCACCAGCATCCTCAGAAACCAAGTGGATCTGGGCAGGATTTAGGATTACAGGTCATTTTTCTATCAATGTCACTTGTAAGGACACCTAAGGACAATGCTGCCAAGGACAAGGAAATAGCTATGGGCAAGGACTGGTAAATTTATGGAGTGGGAGGAGCAGTAGGAGGATGCAGGAGGGGGAAGAGGAGCATCCAAACTCAGGAGGCACTGACTGTAGCCATGAGAGTAGGGCACATATTGTCTGAAAGTCTTGGGAGGAAAGACACAGAGATTTATCACTTGCATGCATCAAAGGAACTGCATAGATCAAAGAGGATGAAAATAAAGAAGCAATCTTGCAAATATATGTGTTGCAAAAATACTTCAGGTAAGGGGGCGAGCAAGGCTTTATTGCACTCCTCTACACTGTGAAGTGCTCCTTTTCCAAATCCATGTGCTTTCATATGACTCACACATCCTTTAGGTTCTCTTTTATGGGCAAAATCTTGCACAGACACATAGTTTCTGAAGCAAGATGGGTCCATGCCCATATTGTGCAGATGTCACTGAAATCAGTAGAGTAAAGGCATTTGTCCGAAAGGAGGTTGGGGCTTTCAGCTCCAAGGTCTGAGCTCCTGATTTGGCTTCTTTGTTTGAAAGCTGAGCTCAAATGGCTCCATTTGCTCTTCTCTTTTTTCTTCTTTTCCTTCTTTGGCTTCATGTACTGCTTTTAAAACTAAACTGTGGAAAATTTTTAAACATTTGATATGGCATCAAGGAAAGAATAGCTCTGCTGATGGAAGAGAAACAGTGAGAAAAAAAGGAATGTTTTTTCCTTCTTCTGGACTGAAAATATAATAAAAGCCTGGACCTGGTGTGATGCACTCTTATTCAGCATGTTTTCTGCTGTGAGATGACAAGAGGGGGGTGGGGGGTGAGGATGGAGTTTCAGCTAATTCCATGAAACTATGCTGATTATCTGAGGTGTCAGATGTATATGTGTCAAGAAGCATTTGAGTCTTTGCTTCTTGTCAGATCATTTTTTAAATCAGGGTGCCTGGGGCCCTTCTCATAAGCAAAAACAGGATATAAGCCTTCCCCCCCAAGATGATTATCAGTTTTAGAAGTACATTTGTATACTTTCAGAAGTCTGCTTGAAATGTAACCAGGCAACTCATTTGGGGAAGGAAACAAATGTCAGCCCAAACTCAAGGCTGAACTGCAACACAAGCTTTAAAAATTCTGTCTTTGAAAGAAAAGACAGTGGGTCAATTTCTGTGGCCAGGGAAGCTGGTACAAACTGGATTCACTGCTTACATTTGCTGTACACAGAAGGTAGGAGATATACATGCTGCTTAGGAAAGGCACAAGTTAAATTGGAAAGTGATCTACTTGAGCCAATAACTCCTTATTATGGGGATTCTGTGATTTTAGTAGATTATACTTCCCTCTCTCTTGGGTGCTTGCCTGTAGCTTCAGATGGCCAAATTCTGAAGGGCATAAAGCCCACATGAGTTTAAAAGTCCAATTCTTAGCTGTTCTTCTACATACTACTGATGCCTGCATTAGGCATGGTTACAGGGACACTACACAGACTTTCAGACTCCTGTTGCAGAAGTGCTATTCCAAATCTGGCAGCTCAGGCAGGCCTGAGATGTCTCTCCAAATGCTCAGCCCAGTGTAGAGGGTGGGAATGTGCATCCTGCCATTCAGAAATGCTCTGCACTCATTTTCCAAGAGTTAATGAAGATGCACAGGTCCAGACTCTCACAGAAGAAGATGTTGCAGCTACCTTGTGGGCAGGGACTGGTGATTTGTGCTATCTGCAAAGAATATTTTTCCTTTGATTCAATTCTGAATTCTGAGTTTGCCCAAAGGTGACTCTTGAAGGTTCTTCTTTTCCTTCTTGAAAACCTGTGCGATGAAGTAATATTTTAGACTGCCCTGCATATACTTGGAGCCAGCTTCTCCAAGTTACTAAAATCTACCCAGAAACAGGTATTTTTGGCACACCAAGGCTGCAGCATCTTGGTAATAATGCACTTCCAGCAGGTGATGCAAACAAGCCTGTTCATTCCCTGCTTCATTCCCTTCATCAACTGCTCCTCCCCAGCAGTTGCTCCCTGTATAATTTTCATGTTTCAGAGTAGATGCAGTAAGGGTGTATTACTCTAAAGCTGCATTGTCCTGGTACATGAAATTATTTTTTATTAAAAAATCAGACTTTAGAAAATATTAGGTCTTTTCATTTGGGAACTGGCTGAAAACACCAAAACTGGTTGTTAAAAATGTGACATTTTCTGAATTCAGAGTTCATTCTGCTTGCTACGCTTGTAGCCTGGAAGGTGGATACCTTTTGTATCTTGTCAGAACAAGATACCATCAGTGTAATTTTGACTTTGTCCCCAGCAGTACAGTCTGCATACTGCTCCACAAGGGTGGAACCAGAGCAGGATGAAAGGCCACACTGCAAGGGCTGGCAGTGACCAGCCTGTCCCGAGGTGGTGGAGATGGAAAGAACAGCAGGAGTGGGATGGATCTGGCTGCTGCAGCACCCATCTCCTCTCACAGTCACCACCTTTCTTTGTCACAAGGGTCAGTTTCTACCTGCCTGGTCTTCTCCCTGGGGAGGGGACTCACAGCACTGGACAGTCTCGTTCCCTCCTTTGTGTACCTCTTACCTGGCAAGTATTTGAACCATCAAGTTAGGTATTTTATGGAAATGAAGAGAGCACTAAAATTGCTGTCTGTTTTTACAATGATTATTGAAAGGGCACCTAGGCTACCATTGGATCTGTAATAATCCCTTATTATTTCAGGGCCCCACATAAAAATAATCTTATTGGTTAAAAAAAATCAAAACTTAAACCCTGCAATATGTGAAAAAACCCATGGAAATCTTCCATGTGGCCACATACCCTTTAGCACTGTTTTCTTCAATTTAACACTGCCAGGGTCATTCATAGAAGAGCCTTGGTATGACACCTCCATTGAATAATAAGCTTTGACATCTCTCCACAATCTTTCTCTTGGAGGAATGGAAGTAAAATCTCTGTCAACAAAAGGGAAAACACAGTGGTCAGAGGTGGCAAAAAGCAACATGGATGACACAGTTTGTGCGCATGCCCTAAGTACCATTGATACAGCCTAAAATAAACCTTGCTAGTTCATCTGGCAGCAGGACAAACAGTCTTGGCCACTCACAAAAACTATCTGAAAAGAGTTTATACTGATGATGATGAGAAAAGAATATAACTGTCTTAAAGGTGGCATTTACCTGGTTAGTAAATGGAAGGTAATTGCCACTTGGGACATCTCCAATGAATTCTTTAAATGCAAAATATGTATTTATTATAATATGCAATTTTAAATTGGTGTTGATCACTTAATATTGTCCATTAAGTTTTAAAAAATGTACATTTCTTCTTCAGATCCAAATGTTTGTGGTATAGTAATACAAACATCTCAGCTTATATTAATTAAAAAAAAAAGAAACATAAAAGGCTGAGAGAAAGGGTTTTCAGATATTGCATCTTTCAGGAAGAATGTGTTGTAAGAATTTTAAAGACTCAAGAGAGGTCAGTTATTCCAACATAACAGCATTTTAATTTTGGATGAAACCTTACCTGTGCTGGCTACTGTTACAAAACTTAAGGAAAATACCTTTCTAGAGTGGAAGATGAAGCAAATGCACAGAACACGAGTGCACCAGGTAGGAACATTGCAACAGCTCCCAGATGAAATCCCACCACTCTGAAGTGGGTGCAAAACTCTGTGAAAGCACTGGGATTCAGACTTGCCTTGATGCTTTCCTTTCACATGCAGGAAAAGCCTGCATGGCAGCCGGATTGCAAGTCAATGCGCTGACACAGTGAATCATGTAATGAATATATTTTGATGCTCCTTCTGATACCGTAGTATATTTATAATTATAAACTATGGAGAACAAGTATTGTGTATTTCAAAAGCAGCATTTAATATACTAATGTGTTCAATAAAGGACAGACACATTCACAGAAATATCTCCTCATGTTCATATATGCTTTGTCAGGTTAGGGATACATTAGTAATACAATTTTTTATTTTTCCACAATGAATTGCTTACTATGAAGCAATAAAAACACTACTGAGGACCCACTTCACTCCAGCATCTGGGACCTACATGTGTACTGTACAGTGGCTCTTCTGATTTCTGTTTTTGGTTTGGTCCCTGCCCATCAGCCCTTTTCTGTCTCTCTGGTCAGCATCAGTGAATGTGTCCCTGCTTAATCATCTCCCAGGCATGATTAATCTACTGCAACTTACAGGTGAGAAAAATCTTATCAGCAGTAAGGCAGTTTTAAATCTCAGACATCCAGATCTATTAAGCCCCATAGGCCAGAAAAATCAAGCTCCAGAAAATTCTTGGTGATCCAATACATAGACAAATTTGGAAAGCTTCCTGGAGACCCAAAGGGTTGGTTTTTTCGGTTGGGATTTTGTTTGTTTATTCCTTTTTATTTTTCTTTTCCTTGGAAATTACAACTTCTCTATAGGCCCTGGGAATTGAGGGGGTATGGAATCACAAAATGTTCAAATGGCAATGTGATAGTTGGAGACAAGTGATGCTGGTAACCACAATGAAACTTCAGTGTTACATTTATGCCTATAGAAATCTGCGTGTGCATCTGTGGGAGGTGAGTGGGAGAGAGAGGGAAATGCAAAAATACAATTAATTCCAGTAACCTCCACAGGTATCTCCCCAGCTGACACATATATTCCCAGACAACAAGGAATGTGCTGCAGATTAGAGTGATATATAATTTCCTTTGCCTTTGCCAATGCCCCCAGCCCCATGCACCAGCACGTAGCTCCTCACCTTCCACAGAGCTCAGAGTCAGGCTCTGCTGTCTCCTCAGTACACACAGCCTCAAAGACGCTCATTTTCCCTACCACTCCAGCTGTAATTCCTGCTTCCCCTGCATGACCACTTACTATGCTCTCTTCTCCTATGCTCTACCTTTTCTTCTGTCCCTGTCAAACTGCTGATCCATCTCTGATTTCTCTCACACCTCCCTGTGTCTCTGCTTACCTTAGCCAAAACTGCCATTCCTCCTCAGGGATGCAGAAGAAGTGATGTCCCTGTGTTGTCATTGTTATTGCAAAGCTCCCATACCTGCTTGGTGATTTCTTATAGGCAGTTCCTCACAGCACTGAGGGGGCTCAGCCCCCAAATTCCAGCTCAGCCCCCAAATTCCAGCTCCCTCCACAGCACAATCAACAAACTCCAGCCCTCTCGTCACCCAGTTTCCCCACTCTTTTGTAGCACTCATCATCTTATTGGACTCGGCTGTGGCCTATGAAGGGCAGGCCTGTTACTAATCTGTGGTGATTAGTACAGCTGCAACTCCTCAGGGGTGAGATTACCTTCTGCACTATATTTTCTTACATTCTATCCCTCCACATCCCTGTGCTTCAGGTAACCTCAGGTAACTTTTTCTCCCACTTTTCCAAAGCATTCCTAGCTGTGATAGCTCACTTCTGCTACCTTCATCTACTCTTTTTGCACTATCGTGCGTGGACAGTGGATGAACATGCAAAGTGACCTCCTTGTTCAGCAGTGAAGCAGCCCTCCTCTTCCCTCACCTTCCCACAGGAGTATCCATGACTGTGTTATTCTCCAGGTTGAATTGTCTGCCCATCTGGGCAGGCAGCCTTGCCCCAGGGGCATCCCTGGACTACTAAGGCAGAAGTCTCTGACTACTTAGAAACATCAGCACCAGTGTTTTGCTCCATGCTTCTACACATTGTGCTACCCTTGTAAAAACAGATGCTTACCAAACATATGAAATTAAAGCAGCCTCATGGGAAAGAAAGCCCCGAGCACCCCAGGCAGGAGGCTCCTGCTGGCACCCAATTTGTGCATTAGAGGGTGACGAGTGGAAGATGCACACCGAGCCACGCCGCTCTCCTGGTGGTTTTGTTGTTGTTGTCACAACATGGTGGAGAATATCCAGACTTGCCAGTAAGGCAAGGAACAATCTCTTCATATTATGCCAGCTCAAATACTAAACCGGCTTACAGCCACACATCTGCATGATCCTAACCTCCCCTCATTACAAGCACAGTAGGGATTTACTTGCACCACACTAGCTGCATGGGGCCAATATTTTTATCCAGCAAAATCACATATTGTTACCTCCATATGTACAGTGGAAACAGCATGAGTAATGGAACCTTTAATCCTCATTTTTCAAAATTAGATTATAGTTTTACCTTCACTTTCTCTTAGTTTTTAAATCTCTCCCAATGCCCAGCACTGAAGACGCTGCTCCCCCTCTAATCACATTCTCTGGTGGATCCAGTCACAGTTGGCTGGAAGGGGCTGCCTATGCAGATCCAGACCACAGGAGACTGCCTGTATCACCTTCAGTCACCTTCCTTGTGTCCCTTGAAGAATTAGTTTAATCGGAGCAGATAAAGTAAATGCCACATAACGTAAAATTAAATTAAAACCTATATGCAACAACAAAGATAGTATTAAGATGTAACCATCATGCCTCCATATCCCTGCACTTGCAGATAAACAGAGAGATTTATAAGAGATGTATAAGTTCCTGCCAGAGAGTACCAGAGGCTGGCAATATTGAATTAAGCTGCACGTGTTTTTCAAAAGCTTTTTGAAAGTAGTATGGTCTGCACAGTGCAGTGTTTTGTACCTCCTGCCACGTTCTGGAGTGAAATACATCACACAGCATAACACGGTAGATCCTGCTTTAAGGTACAAAGCAAAATCATTGTGTGATCTACTCAGCTGCCTCACACTCCAATTGCATTGTTTTAGCCAGCACAGATATTCAGCAGTGCTGCCACGGAGTATCCTTGAGGATCTCTTTGTAAATTCCCTTTAATCACTGTAAAGCAATTACATTGCAAACTGCAGCCTTCTAGGAAGAGCTAGACATCCTTGCATAACAATTTTTTGGTGCCCTGTAACAATGGCTAGGACACTTTCTTTGACCTGAAAATTGCCCTGTTTATGCTGATAGGAACTGAAAATATTTCTGGAAGCTTTGAATACTCTGTGTCAAACTGGTCTTGAATTAAATGTAAACAAAATCTCCCTGATTGAGGCACCTTCACTAATAGGGATGTTCATATTATCATGCATTAATTATTATTGTTTAAACTTCAAGATGTAGTATGGATCTGCAGCAAATACCTGCAGACATCTTTATGCTACTCACTTTACAAACACTGAATAAAATGATCCTCCCCTGTATGTCAAATGATCTCTTTCTTTCACATGCATATATATATATATATATATTTATATATGTATGTGTGTGTATATAGTATATATGTGTGAAGTATCACAGTGTGCAGTGTCTCAGTGATTTTACCTTTGTCACGTTCATCTCCCAGTAGCCACAGAAGAACGCTCCTGGTGGGTCAAAAGGCCTTGGGATAGAAGTCAGGTTCTTGTTCTAGGTGTGAATTTCTGGCCTCTCCAACTCACTGCCAACACAACCAATTAGTCCAGAGACAAACCTTTGCTCTCCAGGGCTGCATCAAGAAATCAAGCCTAGCTCCAGGCCAGAATTTCTTCTCCATCTGTAAACAGGAGCTTGGGCCTGTTAAATGTGGTTAGTGCCCCACATCTCTCTGTCCATTCCCTTCAAGGCAAGTTGAGTCCCTCATTGCCACTTCTCCAGAAACATGTGCTGACTTCTGACATGTTTGAATTTTTCCAGCTGTACCTTGTGTTCCAAGTCTGTGCTAGCATGCCTGTTATTCCTCATGCCTTTGCTCCTCCTAGGCATTTTTGGGTGTTTGAGTGCTTCTTGGTGTCTGCCAGAGCCTCCACAATGGTGGCTCACCAGGATCCCAACTTGCCAGAGATGTTGCTCCTTTTCCCCCCCTTTTTACTCTTAATTCCTTGTGCAATTTTCACTGTACTCCCCACATCCCTGCCCTCCTCAGCCACCTCCACAGAGCTCAATCCCTCCCGAGAAAGGCAGCTCAGGGAATTCAGCCCCACGGACAGCAAGAGTAACTTTTCCCTTGCCTACAAGCACAACTGAGTGTCTGAGTCACAGCAAAGCCCCAGAGCCTCCCAGCAGAGACAGCTAAAAAAAGCCTTTTACTCCATGAGTTGATGGGTCCTCACCCCACATCACCTGTGGAACACTGCTGTGGGATTTGTAAGCTGAGCTCTAATTAACTTAAAAAGCATATGAGGAAAAAAAAAAAAAAAAAGAAAGAAAGGAAAGTTGCAGGATTTGAACCAGGAAGCCTCATGAAAGCAGATCGCATATTTAATTTGCTCTGTCAGACAATAAGAAGATCAAATGATTTAAACAGTTGATGTGTTGTGAAAACACATCCTGTCGCAGCTGGGATGTGGATGGAGTCCTAATCATTCATTTCCCCTCAGAGTCATTCCCCCTCTGTTTGCTGTGACACCATGGAGTTTGGAGTTTAATGTGCTGGTAATTGAAAGATGCTTCTCTCAATATATTTCAAGACAGATTTTTCAGAGAAAGAGACCCATTGTATTTTCAATATGTGAGATAATGCCATTAATTTCTTATGCCCCAGTTTTGTCCTTTGCCTTGTCCCCTCGGAAAATCATCAGTAAGATTTGTTTACAGCTTCAGTTTTTTATTCATATCCTGCTTCAATTTTTTACCCATATCCTGGTTTTCTCCCCCCCCTTTTTGCTTTCCTCCAATTCTTCTGCTTCTCACCATCTCTTCTTTACCCTTTGAATCCAGCATCCCAGGAAGTTCAGTGAGCATGCCCTACTCAGTATTATTCATGCAGGTGTCTTACAGGACTCTTTTAAACATGCTGAGAGGAATTGAGTTCACTCTTGGGCAAAGGTTTCTGAGGAAGGTGACTTTTATTACTCAGATGCACTCTGCAGAATACAGATAAACCTCAGTGCTCCCCTCTAACCCTCCATCCTCTTCTAGCACTCCCAGCACAGAGAGTTATCTTCATTAACAAGTTCAGATCAGCACACACTTGCAGTGCCAGTGGTCAATGAGCGCACGTTTTACTCGGTCTGTGAGACGAGCGAAACGAGTAAGTTACTTCCCCTGGTCAAAAACATCCTCATTCCTTAATGGAACAGCTTAATTATTCTTTCTTTCTCCTGGTCCTGGGGGACAGATTATTGAAGACAGATGGGCAGAGAAGTGTGCATACATTAGCGGGCGAGGCTGGATGCAGCCGTTCCGTGGATGGGAGGGCCGACAGCTGCATGGTCACATCCACACACCCGGGAAATTGCCAGAGCCTAGGGAGTGTGGGGAGCACTGGTGACCCCGTGTTGCTCTGATGCCTTCAGCTGGGGGCCCACAGGGGCACATGTGCCTGCACATGAATTCCTGCTAGGCTCTGCAGGCTTGGCCATAGCCATCAGACCTGTGCAGAGCTGCAATCACACAGACACAACTTCTTAAAAAAGACATCTCTTTGCACCAACCTCATGTTTTCCCTTCCCTATTGCTTTGTGACAGCCTTTCAAAATCAATGTAATTGCTGTCTCTTTTGCTGCCACTAGTTCCTGTCCTTCTGCAAACTCTGAAGCCTCTTGTCTGGGAGGTGGCATTGCCTTCTCATGAACAGGGAATCCATCAGAGCCCAGCTGAGGAGAGGAACCTCGATGCTTAATGCTCAGTTTCTGCAGGTGGATTCTGGGCTGTGCTGAGTGAAGAAATGTGATACTAATGTTTCATGTTTAAGGACAAATCCAGAATGATGATAACTATATACTGATCTCTGCTGTGACTGGCAGGACTTCTGCCATTCTTGTCCCCACATTAATATGAAGCCTGTCCTCCAAGTCTGGCAGGTCATTAAGGTGGAGATTTTAAAGTGCCCAGATTATTTAGGAACAGAAATTCCATCAGCTGTATGGTTGATGTTTTTTGGCCCATTTACCACTATTTAAAATTTGTGGCATTTTGTGAATGACCTTCTTGGATGGTGTCTTGTGGCAGTGGTCGCAGGGGTTTTCAGGTGAAGGTAGAGACGAGAATGTTGACTCCATGTTCAGAAGGCTTGATTTATTATTTTATGATATATATATATATTACATTATAACTATACTAAAGAGAAATAGAAGGAAAAGGTTTCCTCAGAAGCTAGCTAAGCTAAGAATAGAATAGAAAAGAATGATAACAAAGCCAGCTCTCTCGGACTCTGTCTGAGGTAGCTCAGTCCTTGATTGGCCATTAATTATAAACATTCAAGATGGCTCAATCAAGAATCCACCTGATGCATTCC